CGATAGAACCCTTATAGAGCCACTCTGCAGCTCCAGGCTTAGTGCGGTGTTGTCTCCGTTGCTGTAATTGCGAAGTAGAAATATACTAAGATGCCTTTTGGCTAATATGCAGGTTCGAATTTTACCTTCTTTGGGTTCAAGCATAAGCTTGTATTCCTTTGTTCCTAGTCCAGCAACCTTGCCTCCTACAACCCAAGGTTCCTGTACGAGGACTAGGTCGGCTCCGCCTTCTGTCAGGCGAAGCAGAAGTGCAGCAGATGCTGCTTTACTGTGGTGAAGGTTTATTTGTAGAAGTCTTAGTGACATCTACAGCTTCAACCTCCACCACAGTGACGTCGGCCTCCTCTGTGTCGCTGAGGTCCACGTCCTCGATTGCCGGTCCGAGCGCACGCATCTCTCTGCTCAGCGACGAATCGGTAGAGTAGCCATCCTCCGGCCCACCAGGTGCCTCCAACTCCTCAGTAAGCACCTGCTCGGCTGGGTTGCCGGCAGAGCTGCTAGCGGCGTTGGAGTCGCCCTTATACACTTTGATGTGTATCGCACTAAACCCGAAGTTCAGCACTCCACGAGCAGTCTCGATCGGACCAAAACCGCCTGGTTGACATCCCCTTCATGCTCCTCCACCTTGACGACTTTCCAGTCATTCGTGGGGAGGTGCGGGTTGCATTGTTGCAACATGAAGAGGATGTCCTCCGGCGTCTTGATCGCTGCTGGAATCCAGATCCTGGCTCGGGGTCTACTGGGGACATCGCACCAGTCAAGCGCAACGATGTTCGCCCCTTCGTAAACCTCGCCGAGCTTGCTTGTCGCCTCTTTGAACATATCAGCCGACCGCTGACTGTCGCATGCTACCACCTTGACGCTGCCCTGGTACCAGCCCGCGTCCATACAACAGGGCGAGGTGCCTGGCTTCTCTCGTACCATGCGCAGGCAAATGAGGGAAAGGTGGGACTCCACTGCCTTCCACTTGTTTCTAGGGATCCTGCTCTCCGGATTTCCCCTGTCAATCAGGCCGAGTAGTACACGATTCTTCGTGATTTCGGCGAAAGAGACCGATGGCTGGATCTTTGATCTCTTCGCCGATGGCCCGGGTAGTTCGAGGGATCGCCGCTTTTCGCCTGAGTCGCCTCTTGAGTGGGCTTTTCCTGCCCGTAGTTTGGGAGCACCTTCCTTGCCCACTCTACCTTCTTTAGCCATTCAGGCGAAGGCGTGGCAACGGTGCTCCTGGTGTGTGAGCGCAGAGTCTGGGCGGCAGTCCGCCTTTCTGCGTATGTATATTTTGCACCAGCGGGTGGCCCGAGCGCCTTGGCAGTGCCTACCGTTGCTTTCGGCGCAGATGCGCACGTCGCGGAGGCGTTTGCGGTTGGCTTTCTGCCACCCATCATCCCCAGTTTGGGATGCGGCCCTTTCTGGGCCGTGCTGGTATGGATCCGGGCCCCCAGCCAGGCTGACTCTTGGCACGGTCCGTATTACACCGTAGTCCGCCCCGGAGTGAGATGTTGTTTGGGAGGGGAGTTGGGTAGGTGTTGTGTTGGGAGTGGGTTTGTGTAAAGCAACTATTTAGATGCGGCTGAACAACTCGCATCGTCGGTGTTGCTTCGTTGCAAAATACCCGCTGGCTGTCCGGGACTGTTTATTTACTGGGGTTTCCGTCCACGATTCCGTGTTTGACTTATCCCACCAGCTTATTCACAGTTGACCTCGAGAGAGGTCGTCCGCTATACGCAACCTGCGACCCGCTCGGTTGCCCCAGCTAGGCGACTTTGGAACCATCTCAGAAGTTCCTCAGCCGAGGAAGCTCAGGAATCTGCACGCCAAATCTCAATAGCCTAGCTCCCATAGTTTCCGAGATCTCAGCGTTCATCCGGACAGACAGACGGACAAGAATATATATACTTTATGGGGTCGGAAACGCTTCCTTCTGCCTGTTACATACTTTCCGACGAATCTAGTATACCCTTTTACTCTACGAGTAACGGGTATAAAAATAGCTCCCTTTCCATGACTTCTTTGTCGGCGCCCAGCTCTGATATAAATTCAAAAAACTAAATTTCCTAATTCACTATCAGAATGTTCGGGGGCTTCTTAGTAAACTCTCTACGCTTTATATAAATAGTTCAATTTTTGAGGCCAATGTTATTGTACTCACTGAGACCTGGCTTAACCCATCCGTACACGATAGTGAGATTTTGTCTAATAACTTTTTTGTTTATCGGAAGGATCGTCAGACCCGTCGAGGAGGAGGCGTTCTTATTGGAGTCAAATCCAGTTTAACTTCTGAGTTTGTTGATATTTCTGAATCATCAGGTATTGAATTTATTTCCGTAAAATTATCTTTCCCAAAAAGAAACATTTTTTTAACCTGCTCGTATATATCTCCCGGCTCTGAATTTAACGTGTATCTACTGCACCTGTCAGCCATACATTCTATCTCCTTGTTGCTTACTGAAACTGACCAACTTATTGTGCTTGGTGACTTTAATCTTCCCAATATCTCTTGGTTGGAGAGTAAGGACTCATTGGCAATGATTCCTAGGATGCAAAATGATTTTATTGATGGTCTTGTTGAACTATCTTTGCAGCAAGTTAACAGGATTCCCAATCATATTAGTCGTCTTCTTGACTTAATCTTTGTTTTTGATAGTAGCGATGCTGAAGTTAGTCGTATTTCGCCACTATCTTTACCTGAAGATTGTTATCATCCTACCCTTCAGCTCTGTATTAATGGATTTTATAATAATCCTAGGACTGCAATAAATGTACAGCCTAGTTTGTGTTTTAAGAGGACTGATTACGGCAGACTAGTGGAATCTTTATCGACAGTAAGCTGGTCCTTTCTAGTTGACCTTCCTGTTGATGATGCAGCTAGGTACTTTTATGAGATCCTTTACCGTCTATTTGAAGAACGTGTCCCTCTTTCCTTCATGAAGAATTCTTACAGCTCTCCATGGCTTACCCGTCAACTATCTTATCTGAAGAATAAAAAAACAAGACTATTTAAACGGTTAAAAATATCCGGCTTACAGACAGACTTCACCAAATATAGCTCAGCTAATTTGTCCAGTACAATACTGATTGTTACAAAAATTACCTGTCTCGTTGTAAGCGTGATTTCAAAAGTAATCCTAAGCTTTTCTTTTCTTTCGTCAATTCTAAACGAAAATCTAGCTGCTTCCCTCCCTCTCTCTTTCTCAATAATAATGTAGCATCTGACGATAATGATATTTGCAACTTATTCGCAGACTTTTTTCAATCCACTTATACGAAATGCAATAATGTCATTATCAAAGATTATCCAGACCCGCTACCTCATTTGAACTCTATCTTCAAACCAGTGATTGATTTATCTGATGTTCTTCAGAGTCTTAATACTCTCAAGCTCTCATTTTCACCGGGTTCTGATAGAATACCAAGTTGTATACTTAGGAATTGTTCATCTTATCTTGCTCTTCCCTTAACATTGATATTTAATCTGTCCCTAAGTCAATGTAGATTTCCATCCATATGGAAGGAATCCTTTATTATCCCATTGTTTAAAAAAGGGAACAAGTCCGATATCTCAAACAATCGCGGTATTGCTAAACTCAGTTATATTCCTAAACTTTTTGAAAAAATTATTACCTGTCAGTTGCAGCATCATTGCAGGTCTATTATTTCACTTTGTCAGCTTGGCTTCACTAGATGTCGCTCTACATCCATTCCAAACCTACTTGAATTTACGTCTTTAATTACTAGAGGTTTTCTGACACATCATCAAACTGATGTGATTTATACCGATTTCTCTAAAGCTTTTGATTCAGTGAACCATAGGACTCTTATTTATAAATTGTCCCTTTTAGGTTTTCCACCCAACCTACTAGAGTGGATACTTTCCTACCTTTCTAATAGAACTCAAATGGTCTGTTTTAATAATAAAATTTCCAAAATAATTAATGTTACTTCTGGAGTGCCACAGGGTAGCCACCTGGGACCTTTACTTTTTGGCTTAATGATTAATGATCTACCTTATGTTGTAAAATCGTCAACTGTTTTAATGTATGCAGATGATGTCAAGCTATGTTTGTCCATGTGTTTACCTAATTCTTGATTCTTGATTGTTTGTATACGTGGTGCATGATTAACATGTTGAATTTGAACTATTCTAAATGTAACTTTATGACCTTTTATCGTTGTAATCCATCTCTGTATTCTTATTCTATCGGTAATAACGCCCTTGAACGTATTTTTTCTGTTCAGGATCTTGGCGTTCTATTTGATCATAAACTTAGTTTTAAAGACCATATATCTACTATAACTAACAAAGCCAGAAGTCTCCTGGCGTTTATGAAGCGCTGGTCAAGGGAGTTTGATGATCCATACACAACAAAGCTTTTGTATGTTTCTCTTGTTCGTCCGTCAATGGAATATTGCTCGTGTATATGGTCACCTCAAATTAGCTGTTACCAAAATATGTTAGAATCCGTTCAAAAACAATTCCTTTTATTTGCTTTGAGAGGTTTAAGCTGGGACACAGGAAGTCGATTGCCCTCTTATCATGCGAGGTTGCGCCTGCTGGACTTACCAACCCTGAACCATCGTAGAAAGTGTCATGGAGTTATGTTTTTGCATAAATTAATTAATGACTCTCCCTTCCTTCTTAGTTCCCTCAACTGGAATGTACCCTGTAGAACAGTTCGTCGTTTTCGTCCGTTGTCCCTGCCAACTTGTAGATCCAATTATGCCCTTCATGATCCTTTTCGGGTTCTTTGTGACGACTATAATGCACTGTGTCACGTCTTACTGTTTAATAGCCCTAATGCAACTAATTATGATAAACTTATGTATTTTCTATCTTCCATTAATTTGTAAATTTCTATGTTACTAGCCATTCTATGTGAGCATGTATTTTAAACTGTCTATTGTTATGTCGTCTTTTTCCATGTCCGCGATTTCGTTTACTTGCCCAAATCGGTTTAGAGCTCCGCGCGTAACAAGCATTGCTTGGTGTCGTAAGGGCCACTTGTTTGTACTGACCATAGTGCATCAACGTCCAAGAAAATGAAAAATATAAACCCCTCAGAAAAGGGGAACAATAAATTCTTTTAGTTATAGCTATACACAAATAAAGATAAGCACACGAGTAATAATAGCACAAAAGTAATGATAATAGATGATAATATAAAAACAATAACAATACGAAAATAATAATAATACACACACAAAAAGAAACACCAACACAAACATTAAGATTAAGACAAATAGACAATTTAATTATAAGAATCTACAATTTCATGTACATTTAATCCTTTTCTGACGCTACAAGCGCGTCTACAATCTACGTGGCGACAACCCTCCATATTTTCAAATATGATGCACCGGTTGTCCCCTTACAACAAGGTACCGTCTGGAGGACCAATGGCGTCTTCAAACTGGCTCACGTCATCAATCTAGGCCGCATGCAGCAGCTCATCGACCAGGTAGCAAACGAGGCTGCGCTTTGGTTGGCCACTATCTGCAGCGCGCTTCGGATGGAACCTCGCGCATGGATAGCGCACCAACGCGGAGACAACGCTCAATCGATTGGCTAGGATCAGCCTGGAAGTGGGTCTTGGGATCACCGGACAAATCGGATTGGAATGCCATCTTGAAAGAGGAGGACAGCCTGGTAAGGAACAATAATCAGCAGATTCGAATCAACACTAAGTTGTTTGACTCGACGCACGAATCGCTCCAGAAGCTGAACTTGCCAACTAGGAAAGACTGGAGTGGTCAACACGAATCTCTTGGATCACGACGAGATCAATATGATATTGGCGGAGGTGGACAGCCTGCCTTATCAAAACGTCGTTGAGGCAGTCGAATTTTCCAGACCTACAATCCTTACAAACGGGACTACTCTTTTGTACATCCTGGCGATGCCCAAAATAGTAGAGAGGAAGTACCGATTGATGAGGATCTACCCAACGACATCCGACGGTAAACAAGTTGTGCTAAAATACACCACACTGGCGATGGACAGCCTGGAAACATACGCCCTTCTCGGAAATTGTGTATCCATTGGTAACACAGCAGTCTGCCGAGAAAAGGACTTGCTTAAATTGGAGGAGGACAGTTGCATACCCAGACTATTGAAAGGAGGCCAAGCCGAATGTGACTACCTGAGGACCAACCAGGAAACAGTGGAGCTCATCGACGACTTGAATTTGTACCCCTGACCAGCCAAGACCTATCATCTTAAGCAATAAAACCAATTGTATCGTTTAAAAACGTTTACCTTTTTTATTTTAAATAAAATCGTAAGATCAAATACAAAGGCTTAGAAGGAAGCAGAGACGAAGCAGTTAACTAAAAGGAAGGAACCGCAATGCAACAGAACCTGATTAGGTAATATCGGGGAGAATCCTCCCCCCTCTATATATATATATATTAAAATAACCTTTTTGTAATTTACTCGAACTATTATTTTCATCTTCTATTTTTATATTCTGCAAAAATATATATTTATATATATACATATACATACTAATAATATTTATAATTTCAGAACTACAAACATGAATAAAAAAATGGAAAATAGTATTTCAGATGGAGCACAAAAAGGTTAGTTGAATACATATAAAATACTATTTTTATATATACTAATAATATTTATATTTTCAGAACTCCAAAACATTAATAAAAAAGAGGTTGGCAAATTTTCTCTTGATTTGTATGATGATGATGATGATGATGACGACGATGTAATCCTTTATGATGATGATAATCCGGAACCATGTATTCCAAGATCATCTAGTGAGGATGAAACTATTGTTGTTGAGGGTTGTATAGATAACTATGTTCAAACTATACCGTTTAATTTAGGTGAGGATAATGATAAATACATTAAATCAATTCCTTTAAGTGATGATGACAATAAAGTGAATAGATTGGAGGGTGGTATAGATAACTATAATCAAACTATACCACTAAATATAGAAAAAAGTAAGCAAATTGAATGTAATTCCAAGAAAATATTGTAATTGTTCTGTTAAATTAAAATTTTATAATGTTCTGAATTGTAATATTTGGCTTATACATTACCTTACATTTTAACCTTTAAATAAAATGCAATGTTTGTTCTGTTTTATTTACAATTATAGGTTACATTTATTATTTTTCACAATTTAGTAAATTTAATTATAATTCTGTATAAAACATTTCAAATGTACAATCACCTATATTTTTCTTAAATTTTTCTATTTCAATGTCTTGATAATTATTTCTTTTAGGACAATTCTCTATTTCTCTTATTCTTTGTTCATAAACATAAATATTTGAATCTATTTAATTAATTTTATTTTCTAATCTTTTTTCTTCTATTTTATAATGTAAGTATTAATTTTATTGTTTTGTATAAGAACTTTTGTGTCTTTATGACTGAGAACTACTTTTTTACATTTAATTGTTGATAAAAGATGATTTTTAGATCTAATCATTGACATAGAGCCTTCCACTTCCTCTTCCGAAAACAAACATTTTTTATTGATTTATTGATCTATTGCACTTCTTTTCACTCTTTTTGATTTTTTCACTGTTTTTTCAGAGTTGTCATTACTATTAGATGTTTTAAAGGCATACATTTTTGATCTCAAACCAACAAATTCAGTCATAGGTCTTCCATTGAGTTCATCCTTAAAAAAAACCAAATTTTTTTTATTGGCTTTAGGAAAATTGTAGAGATTAAGTAATTCGTCAGAATAATCTGATGTATCAAACTTCATCTCAATATCGTTCTGAATATCTTTATAAAAATCTTCAGTTTTAATAGTATATATAAAAGAATCTGTATCCATATAATTTAATTGAACATTTTCATTGTATTTAGGTTTAATATAATTATAATGAAAATCATAAATTTTTCATTTCGATAAATCTAATACAGCAAAACCTAAATATAAAGGTTTGTTGTACAACACATTTAATCTTTTCATTTGAAATGCAAAGAACTTTTCTGAAAACTGTTTTACACTATGGAAGTTTGACTTTGAAATAAGAGATCTACCACAATCCCTTTTTGGACCAGAAGAATCTGATGGTAAATCACTTTCCCATTCAGTAATTAATTTTATATTAAGGCGTTTGTCCACATTTTCCATCGTTTTTCCATAGACAGCATTATTTAAAAATTAAAAAAAATCTTCTTCAAATGTATTTTTTGCATTAGTTTTATGAAATTTATTCAAATCAATAAATGTTTTTAACCAAGGCTTTTGAAAGAAGCGAAGACCTCTATGAATTTTTGTTAGAATTAATCCAGTTTCTATACACTCTTGAAGATTTTTATAATGAATTATATATTTTTCTTTATCACTCAAATCAGCAATTAATTTTTTTATTTTGTCTGACTTTGTTGGTAACTGATTATTACAACAAAATGGAAGATCCTTGTTTTTATTGTGCAATTTAAAAGGATATTTTAAATCTACCTCAAAAATGTACCCATATTCACTATCATCTGCAATCTATGTAATGTTTATACTATCAAGTTCTCCCATTGAAATCCGTTCAAAACCTCCATATGGTAAAGATTGTGACATAGCCCAACCATACAAATTGTTTGCATCCAAATAAATCAAATTTGATGATTTTTGAGTACTATCAATATTCTCAACATATTTGTTATTTGCTTTAGCATATCTACATGTACATTGTACTAAGCCACCACGAATACCACTTTGAATAAATTTATACTGATCTATATCAGTTACTAAATCGAATTCAATTTTAGTAAATTTTAACATAGCTTCCCATGATAATCCTGGTGTAGTGAAAAAATGTGCTGGATCGAGTGAATACATTTTAGTACAAAGTCTTCGGAAGTTTTCAAAGACATCAGACATTAATAAAACATCTGTTTTCAAATATAATTCTAAAGAAAACTCATTCCATACCTTTTGTGCATGAGTATAATTTTCAATTGAACATTCCTTTTCGGTTAAGGAAGCTTCTCTAGGAGGTAACTACTTTCTTTTAATTTCTCAACTGAATCTAAATATTCATATGGAAATACACCCTTTCTTCGCATTAAGTTGAAATGATTTTCATTAGGGAAAAATTATCTTGCTATATACATTTCAAGCTAATGTATCTAATACAGAAGGCATAAATCGAAACGAATCTAGAAAACGGATTTCAAAGTTGTCACCATTACTTATAGCTATAATTTTTGAAATTGATATATATTGTACCTTATTTCATGGAATTACCTTTATTTCACCAGGTATGACTGCCAAATCTTTTATAAATAGATGGCAATCATACCTGGTGAAATTGTGAAAGAAAACATGAATAAGTTTTGGAACTTAATATTTTAAATTGCACTCATTATGTGCTGCGCCCATAAATTTTCCTGTGAAGTGACAGTGATCCCTAACTCTATCTGATAAAAGAGGAGTGTTACATATATGGCAATTATTAGATTTTTTGAAATCATCTTCTTCAACATCTGACATTAGTATAGGAACAGGTTTTGAAATATGGTTTTCATATATAAAAGTTAAATTTTCTATTAGAGATAACAGGAAATTCATTCCTGAGTTGAATCTAGTTTCTAAACCAAACTCATCTGAACTGTTATCATGTGCAAGTTATATGACACATTATTTAGGGGCTCTTACCCAATTTATAAACAACTTTGAGCCGAGAGCTAGTTTCCAAATAACTCTGACAGACCCGAGATAAATCCGTGGTCAGCTAATTCTGTCAAGCAGGCCTCCAAATCATACCCACCCAGATCAATTTCACGCAGTCCGAATCCAACGGATGCTGTAAACATCCAAACCGATATTGTAAACAATCGGAGTCCCAAGCGAGCCCTGAGTCCACTAACGTAAACAAAAGATCCCCAAAGCGAGTCCCGAGTCCGCTAACGTAAACAAAAAGATCTCCAAAGCGGTCCCTAAACTCCGCTAATGTAAACACCAATTTCCGGCCAAGATTGGACTTGCATCATCCTATTTTCCGACTATCTATCTATCTTCTCTTTATCAATTTTTGGGGATAAAATCTCTTAAGCCGAGGTTTGATTATTGATCATTGAACTAGAGAGCAGGCAGTCCGTTTTTGAGATCCGAATCGAGCAGTATAACTATTCGAGAAAAATACAAGAGCAGTGAATTAAATAAGTTCGACCTATTGTAAAATTTTAATAGTGAATAAGTGATTGTTAAAAATAAAAATAAATTTTTTTAATCAATTCACTAGTGAGAAACTTAATTTGCACACTTTATATAGTATGCATATGAAACAGGTTTATGTATATTTATAATATTTAAATTTAACTTTTCGCTTTTATTAATCGGTTGAAGGATGCATTCAAAGTCAGCGTAAACTGTGAATGGTACCATCACTGTCTTTTGAATATTTATGTACCGTAAGTTGGCAGCATCTTCACTCAACGAGTAATTTAAACAAATTTGACAGAACCATTTTTATACCCGTTACTCGTAGAGTAAAAGGGTATACTAGATTCGTCGGAAAGTATGTAACAGGCAGAAGGAAGCGTTTCCGACCCCATAAAGTATATATATTCTTGATCAGGATCACTAGCCGAGTCGATCTAGCCATGTCCGTCTGTCCGTCTGTCCGTCTGACCGTCTGTCCGTCTGTCCGTCTGTCTGTCCGGATGAACGCTGAGATCTCGGAAACTATGAGAGCTAGGCTATTGAGATTTGGCGTACAGATTCCTGAGCTTCTTACGCAGCGCAAGTTTGTTTCAGTAGACTGCCACGCCCACTCTAACGCCCACAAACCGCCCAAAACTGTAACTCCTACAGTTTTGATGCTAGATAGAAAATTTTAACTGAAATGTATTGTTCTCAACAATACCTATCGATTGACCTAAAAAAAAGTTTGCCACGCCCACTAAAACGCCCACAAACCGCGAAAACCTGTGACGCCCACAAATTGCATGCTAGATAAGAAATTTTAACTGAAATGTATTGGTGTCGTCAATACCTATCGATTGATCCAAAAATAAATTTTCCACGCCCACTCTAACGCCCATAACGCTTAAATCTGTCTACCGCCGGTAGGTGGCGCATTTTAATCTCGCTTTGCTGCTTGCATATCTCCATTTCCCTTTGAGTAACGGGTATCTGATAGTCGAGGTACTCGACTATAGCGTTCTTCCTTGTTTTGCTTTATCTCTCGAAACTTGAGAGGAAAAGAAGAAGAACAAGAAAAATTTTTTTTATTATTTAAAAGCAAATAAATATTTTAAAATTTTAAAACAAAAGCAAAAACA